TCAAATAAATAAATAAAATCTTTAAAAAATAAATTAATTAATTAAAAAAAATGCATTCCTGTGGATATAATTCTGGTTAAAATGTTTGAGTTCATAACTATCAAGTCTTAACCCTAACTTTATTGGCAAAGTAGCAGGGTCAAAACAATGGGAATCTAAATGTCTTGTAGGGATTATAGGAAGAGGTAGGAGACTGGGGAGGGTGCTATCCAAGCAAGAGGTGATGAAAGATTATGTTCAGGTAAGGGCTTGAAAGTTCAGACTGAAAGTCCATGGCCCAGGTGAGGTCTACGGTAGGTATGAAAGTTTCCTACAACTTCAGGTCACAGAAACCATCTTACGCGTCCCTAACCCAAACAACACCAACCAGGTTCCACTGGCTTGATGAATTATCATTCAGCGCCCCCCCCCCCGCCCCCCACAGGACGGAGATGCTTGCGCTTACTCTCTGGTCATTTCTGAAGTCTCAGAAGAGCCATAATCATGACCATTCTCAGCAACTGGGTAATCAGGCTTCCCCCAAAAGTCTGGAGAGTTCTGATAGTCCTCAGCGTTGGGATAGTCTGGCTCCCCAAAAAAGTTTGGAGAGTTAAGTTGATTCTCAGCTCCTGGATAATCAGGCTCTCCCAGAGTGTCCATGTATGGATTGATTCTGGAACCAGCATATTCTGGATTCCTTCTGGTACCGGGATGGTTGGAATTTGCCCTGGAGCCAGGATGATTAGAGTTTCCCTGAGCTCCAGGGTAGTCTGGCTCTCCCAAAGAGTCGAGATAATCAGGATTTGTTCTGGAGCCTGCATAGTTTCCACTGCTTCTGGAACCTGCAAAATCAAAATTCCGTTGGGATTCAGAGTAGTCTGGCTCTCTGGATGAGCCTGGATGGTATGGTTTGCTCCAAGATCCAATATAATCTGGCTCTGCCAAAGGTATGGGATAATCTGAACTTCTTCTGGAGCCAACAGAGAATGAGTTGCTTCTGGTGCCAGACTGGTCTGGATTACTCCGAGATCCAGGATAATCTGGTTCTGCTAGAGACCCAGGATAGTCTGGACCTGTTCTGTAGTCTGCAGAGTATGGGTTGCTCCTGGTGCTAGGGTAGCCTGAGTTGTTCAGAGCATCTGGAGAATCTGGATAATCCTGAGTTTTCAAATGCCCCCACATACGGTTCCGAGATCCTGAATAGTCAGGGTAATCTGGATCTTCCTCATACCCATTATTCCTGTAGTAGGCAGACATGCTGGCACAGATTCTTCACCCTGGAGTGTTAAAATGTTCCTGCATTTGAGTTACTCAGGGATCTTTTTTTAATCTGAAAAACAAAAAGAAGGAAACATTCATATTTTTTTCTTCCCTGCCAAGACTGCTGGTTATCTTCCACTATCTATTCTCCTTTCTTTCACAGTTGGGTGCACAGCTGCCCAGAATCAGAAGTATGCTTCCCAGTCTCCTGTGCACCAATATGTGACCAGGAGAGTGGACAATGGGATGTGAGCAGAAGCAATAAATAGAACTCCCAGGTTTGTGCTGTTCAAGGCAAGGGGCATTTCTCCCCTTCTTGGTCTTCTTACCTACCTCCTGTGGGCTGGAATGTGGAAATGATAGTGTGCCCTCTTGGTCCATGGACACAAAGGCGGCACCTACCCTAGAGATCACAGCACAACAGATGGAAGAAGCCTGGGTTGCTGATGACATCACAGATCAGTGCCAACATATCAGCTTGGGCTTTTATGTAAAAAAAAATAAAATAAAACTTTATCTTGCATAAACCACTGTTTTGGGGGGTCTCTGATACATGTGGCCAAACTTAGATCCTAACCACTACATTCCTTTGGTTGTAGGAGAAGCAGAACAAAAAAACCAAAAGACTGGAAGAAACAAGGACCCTTTGAGCACTTTGAATGCACTTGTGGTTGTAGGATTGATCAAAGCATAAATTAGTATGAGTGTGCAAAGGAAGAACAGTTGATGGTAACTAGAGGAATTGGGTAAGAAGACAAATACTACCACTCCTTCCAGTTTGAAGATACGATTTTGTGAGTTCTCTGAGCTCTAATCTATAGACATGGTATACTTTCCAAATCAGAAAAAATGGGATTTTAATTTCTAAGTGTGCTGGATATCTGTTGCTTTTACTAGCCTATTATTCATTTCCCCTTTTTTTGGCATCAACGCCCTGATTTTCATCTCGGCATCTGCCCCTCCCCATTCCTGACTCCAAGAACTGTCACATGACCCAGGCATAGCCAATCAGTGTCCACTATGCCCCTGGCCACAGGGTTTGGCTCAGGAATGGGCACATAACCCATATTGGTCCTCCAGGACCAAATTAACTGAGAAAGACGCACTCTTAGGTCACTAGGTTGCCATGGTGATGGAATGTGAGCCTGGAACTGCTAGTATAGTGACCATAGAAACAGAGAAGAAAATAAGTAGGGGAGAAAACAGAAAGGAAAAATCAACAGGATTTGTGGACTGACCAGATATTGGAAGGGTGAAAGGTAAATCAAAAGACAAAAATAGCTCCACAGTTTCAAGCCAGCGTGATTAGGTAGTGTTGATGTAATTGAAAGCAGGAAGTATACCATTTTTAAAGTTCAGCCAATGCTGACAAGTTTATCTCTATGCAGGGGCGCCTGGGTGGCTCAGTTGGTTAAGCGACTGCCTTCGGCTCAGGTCATGATCCTGGAGTCCCGGGATCGAGTCCCACATCGGGCTCC